TATATATATATACATATTCTTATTTTAATTCAAAAAAGGAATGTATAATGAGGAAATATTAATAATTTACTACTCAAGTTTCTAAATGCTCTTGAAAACAAATTAAAGGTATATATGTTTTTCTTGTTTTGATAATTAGGAAACTTTAAATGATCTTATACAAATATACATTGCTTAATTTCTTTTTAATGTGAAGTACAAAATAGCATTAACTAAATTAAATTAAATTCCAATTATAAATTTTAACATTATAATCAATCTAATAAATTTTATTTGTTGTTTTTTTTTTTTAATTTCAGAATGTATTCAAATGGGAATAATAATAATATTATTACCAATTATAAAGTTTTTTTTCCTATAAATATATGTATAGTTTTAAGAAATGGTGTTAATGAATAATTTAGAGCCAAAAATTTCATGATTTTCATTTTTCATCAAGAGAGAAACTTTCAAAAGTGAATCGATACGTCTTCAAACTTGAGAAACATATGTGAGTTCATTTACGAACATTAAGATAATTTGTGTGACAATCTATGAATTGTAAGATCCGATTAAAATCTTACTTAAATATTTATTTACTATAATATTTTCAGTAAGTGTTAGTGAAATTTGAATGTCATTTTTTTAAAATTGAATTATGAAAGAATTTGCATTTTAAATTTTTGATTGTGGTTTGTAAAAGTTTCTCTACCTACACTCGATGTGAAAAAAGATTTATTGATATTATAGTGGGATCCTAGTCCGTGGGTTTGGCTGGGAATGGAGTAGGCCGGTTTTTTGGAGTTTGACTGAACTACGTAAAAAATTCTCTTGCGTACTTTATGTTTTATGCACTTTTAATATTTATAAACTCTTCTTAAAATATAATTCATTTAAAATAATATTCTTGAAATTTGATATTAAAAATTTAATACATTAATGCACTCCCCCAAACCCCCTCTTGGTGTGTCATAACCTTCAGCCTTTCTATGAGGAACTTTAACTTTGAACATAGTCATTTCTTCTAAATAAAGTGAATTACAAGAGATGAAGTTAACGAGATTTTTGAGAAATTTTAGAAAAGCCTCTTGTCAATAAAATTACCTCTTCCATATACATGCCTAAGATTTTAATGGAAGAGAATCTTGAACTAGAGGCAAACCCATGTAATAGTCTTAACCTGATTTTGAAGGATGCGAAGAAAAAAAAAAGATTATTAAATGGCTAGATGCAAATATCATATGTCTCATATTTCGTAGTACTTGGGTAAGCTCAATTCACTATGTGGGAAAAAAAGGAGGCAAAACTAAGATTAAAAATGATCAGAATGAAGTATTACTCGCGATGAGTGTTACTAGATGGAGATTATGTATGGACTATAGGAAATTGAACAAAACTACTAGGAATGATCATTTTACTGTGCCTTTTTTTTGTATAGTCATGCTGGACACTCATATTTTTGTTTCCAATATGATTAATCAAGATATCATCACAGCTTTATACCACCAGATGATCAGGAAAAAAAATAAAATTTGCTTGTTCTTATGATTGTAATTTGAGGGGCATTAAGGTGTTCAATAATAATTTATCTATGTTTGGCACTTAATTTGATACATATCTCGAACATCTAGCCAAAATTTTTTGAAGGTGTCAATAGGCTAATCTTGTGTTGAACTATGAAATGTTTCAATTCGTAGTCAGTAAAGGCATAGTATTAGAGCATAAATTGTCTGAGAGAGGGATGGAGTTAGATAAGGTGAATGCATAGGTTATAAAAAAAGTTGTACACACCCATATCAGTTAAACAAATTTGGTGTTTCCTTTTATTTCAATAAAGATAACCTCATAACCATTGAATTTTTAATACGAAAATTAATAATTACATTCGTGATTTTTATGTATGTTTAAGAATATCCATTTGAAGGGATCTAGTAATTTTATTATAGGAGTTGTTAGGCAAAAAAAAAAAAATAATATTTTTCATGCGATGTAGTATGTCAGTAGAACGCGTAAAGAGTGGCATGTAAGCTACATAACCATTGAAACAGAGATACTAGCAATTATATTTGCATTTGATAAATTTAGATTATACTCGATTGTCACCAGAGTTAAAGTTTACACAAATTGTTCAACTATCAAATATCTGATAACTAAGAAGGATGTTGATTCTCATTTAATCTGATGGATACTTCTTTTACAAGAGTTTGATATTGAGATTATATATAAAAGGGGTATAAGGAATTAAAAAATTGATCAATTATTGCGATTCGAGCAGGAAAATTGTGTGGATGTGTTCGATGAAATTAATAAGAATTTTTTTAATGAATAACTTCTTTTGATCACTAAACAAAGTACTCTGTGATATGCATACATCAAAACATTCATTTTTGATGGAATCGCTCCTTATGATTTTAAGAAGTTATTTTTTTCTTCTGATGCTTGATTCTATTTTGGGTTGAACCTTACATTTTTAGGAGAAGTAAGAATCAAATCATTAGAAGATGTGGGCCTATGAAATAAGTAGCAAACAACATTAGAATTAGCCGCCATTCAAATTTTGGAGGGCATTTTACAGATTTTTGAACTGCTTTTAAGATCTTACAATCAGAATTGTATTGACTTACTCTCTTTAAGGATGTTAATGAAAATATTAAAAATATGATAAATGTAAGCAAGTAGATAACATTGCTAAGAGGCACGAAGTGCACTTGACTTGAATTATATTTTGGAATTCTCTTTTTTTTTTTTGTAAGGGTATAGTCTTTATAAAACTTTTTACACCATCGCTAGAAAATTATTATATTTTGACTATAATAGATTACGTCTCAAAATGGTTTGAGACAGTGGATCTATCTAAGAGTCATTCCTAAGATGTTAATTTTTTTTTTTACGAACTATATGTTTAGTAGATTAGGAACACCTAAAGTAATTATTGGGGATAGAGAGAGTCTCTTCTGCAATAAAAGAATTGACACATTAATTGCTAAGTATGAGATTAAATATATAATTTTGACTCCATGTCATTTTCAAACTAGTGATTTAGCAGAAGTGACAAATAGAGAAATCAAGAGGAATTTAAAAAAAAAAATTTATTAACCTAATAAAACATATCAATCCCTTAGGATGGATGAAGCATTGTGGGCCTATAAAACTACTTTTAGGTCTCTCATAGGTATGCAGTATGCTACCATATAGGTTGGTATTTGAAAAAGCGTACCACTTACATTTAGAATTAAAACAAAATCCATATTGGGAAGTTAATTAGTTCAATTATATTCTCAAGGATTCATCAAATAAATTGTTCTTATTGCTCAGATTATTTCATGTTGCTTGATATAGCCTGTGTTAACCTCTATTTTACAGTTTGAGTCTTATTTTCTTACATTTTTACATACTTTTAGAGTTTAGAAAAGTTAGTACAAGTAATAAGGTATGAGCACAAATTTCTGATGCATTTGACGCATTGAGCTGCTTGCTCGGGTCACATATTGTAAATTTAGATCATGTATTCATTTTTTAGACTTAAGTTTGATCATGTATAATTGGAGCACAACTATCATTTTGCATTTATGGGATATGTTGTTGACCCGGTGGGAACCCGACCTATTTTTTTATTTATTGAGAGTTTTCCTTATTACACTTGTACGTTTTCACTATTTCTTATGTTTGTGATTTGTCTGGATTAACACAATATATAGGCTCTTTAGCTTAATTTTTTTTCTAAAAAAGTTCAAACTTAAGATATTTATTATAATAAAATGTAGCAATAAAATTTCTAAGATTTTGAACTTAGCACATAGTGTTTACTTTTATTTTTAAATTTAAAAAATTAACACTACATCCTCGAGGTAGTCTTAAAATGATCTTAAATGCAAGGACATATCCTTTTGCTTGTTAATATGGCCTTCATGCTTATGATGTCATAGATAATTGCACACATATTGCATGTCATAAGAAAATTACTCTTGCTTTCCAATCCGGCTTATCTAGCATATATTTTACATGCATAGATGGCTGTCTAATAAAATATATGGTGTTAAAGGCTTCCCGACCTATATGGGATTATAAGCCTCGAGTGGGGTTGAATAACTTTGTTGTTAGGTCATTTGTTTTTGTTTTTTTTTTTATTTACGTGTAGAACTTTTTCCCATACCCATAGCAGTTATAATCTCTATTTTGTCTTCTTGGTCCAGTTAGAGTCATAGGAGCTTAGACGTTTCTTTCTTCCAATTTTAGGTTTACAGAATCACTTCAGAGTTCAGATGATGCAACACATGTAGGGCTGTGAATTTAGCTCGAAGATTGTTAACCACTTGGAGATTAATTCGAATTTTAACTCGAATCAAGATCAGATAAAAAAAAATAGACAAGCTACGGGCCAAAATTTTAGACCAAATTTTTTTTTAGCCAATTTTAAGTAGAACCCAACTTGGCTCGAAATCAGACCATTTACAGTCCTAGTGATGTTATGGATGTAAATTTAGTTAATAAAGATCAAAATGTGTTAATCGCTCAAATTTTGGCTGAAAAGAAATAAATGAGCTGAGCTACAAGGCAAAGTTTTCGATTGAATTTTTTTAACCGATTTTGAGTAGACCCCAGCTCGGCTCGTAATCGGATCATTAACAGCCCTAAACACATGGGTTGTTATTGAATCAATTCCCAGCAATGTTGGCTCAACTACCATAAAGGCTTAGTGAATCTAAGGTCCCAATATTCTGGGAGGATGAGTCCATGGAGCTTGACCAGGCTATCTCAACATGTCTGATTTTTTTTTTTTTTTTTTTGACTAATTGTTAATCTACTCCTTTTGGGCATATTTGTTTCTCATGTCAAGTATCTATGGGCACTTTCTTTCCGTAGACCCTCTCAGCTATGTAGCAACTACTACCATGTTAAGGGGATTCATCCTTTGTTTTGTGATCTAGTTTCACCCTTATTATGGAGGTTTCCCATACAGGAACTGTCAAAAATCTCATTTGTTACCTATATCTTTAATAATTATTTTTTTTTTTCTTTGGTGTAATGTCCTAATAATTAAATCATCAATGAGTTAATTTATAAAATTTCCTCTTTGAAAAATGGCTACGTATTTGCTAGAGTTTCTGTCATTCTTCTGAGATAACATTCCATGCATATAAAGCTAAGCAAATATATCCCACGCACTCCATTGAACCAGTCAATTTGTTTATATAAAAAGCAAGCATTTTTTTACAAAAGAAACCCTATGAAGGCATGAATTCAAAACGGTAAGATCGAAATACTCATTCTCCGGAACAAACTCAATGCCGCACTGCCACGCATAACATTTCAGTGGTAATACTGCCATCTTAAAATGAGTTTCATCCTCTCCGATACTTCCCCTTAGATATATTTCTTCATATTTTGGGCCCAGAATTTGGCTGACTTTTTCACTTTATCTCCCACATTTTGGATTGCAATGCACTACATATAATTCATCTCATTTCTCTGTCAAAACCCAAACTTTAATCAAAATCCTCAACGCCAATCATGTAAGTCCCTTCAAACATTCTAAGTCGCTGGAAAATATGCGAGATTTCTTTTTTTTTTTTTTTTTTTTTTTTTTTTTTTGTAAATTAGCATATTTCTTAAGAAAAAAACATTGTAAAATTAATCATCAAGAAAATGGATGCTCTTATTGCAGGAGTACTCCTCCGAAAAGGTTGTATCCAATGGATCCCCCCAAGAAACAACAACGATCTGACGAGGGCCCGTCGTCTATGACATCTCCTCCAAAAAAGTTGTATCCAATGGACCCCCCCAAATCTAGAGAGAAACTGAAACGACCTGACGAGGGCCCGTCGTCTATGATTACTCCTCCGAAAAGGTTGTATACAATGGACCCCCCCAAATCCAGAGAGAAACTAAAACGACCTGACAAGGTCCCGTTGTCTATGATTCCATCAACGGAGGAAATGCAAGGGGTACCTATGCCGGAATTTTCAAAGTATGAAGGAGTGAAGCCTCTGCAAAGTGGCAAATGGGGTGCTCAAGTCTTTGTTGATGACCATTGTATATTACTCGGAACATTCAAGTCCGAAATTGCCGCGGCACGTGCTCATGATAGCGCGGCCATGAAATTTCTCAAGGATGACTTCATTCGCAACTTTCTTTTGACGGACATCACTATTCATGAACCCCTTTTTCAAAACCACTTCAGCGATGAAGCCATCCTCGAGATGATTTTGGACGGCTCCTACGAACCCAGGTTCATTGACTTTGTTCGCAATATTCTTCGGCCTAATTACTCCGTCGATAGTGGTTCAATAGCATTGCCTTCCGCCTCGAATGTCTTCGATGGAGCCTTTGTTAGAGAAATGTTTCATAAACAGCTGACTTCGAGCGAGGTCGGGGAGCAAAAAATGTTGATGTTACCTATCAATCAAGTTATTCGATTCTTTCAAGATGTGGTCGTTGACAAAGTCGAAATATCGCTCGAGTTTCAAGATAAGATGAATCGGTCATGGGTGTTTCGATGTGATTACTTGCACGATATTCAGAGTCATGTATTCACTACGGGTTGGAACAAATTTGTTAATGAGATGAAGCTTCGTGCTAATGACATTGTGGTCTTCTATCGATGCTTGGATTATAAAAAATGTTTTGGAAAATCTTTTGATATGATTGACATCATTCGTGATTTCAAAAGCAACGGCAGCATCATGGTTGATGAGTCAAGGGAGAAGCCTACTGAATTTGACGAAAAGGAGGGGAAATCAAAGGAGATGGTGGAAGTGAAAGAGACTGAAGAGCAGCCAAAGTTTAAGCTTTTTGGAAGTTGGATTTAGTTGAACAGATGAAGGGAATAAAGGCAGGATTGATAGGTCTTTGTCTAATGCATAACAATGAGATGTATACATGGATTGAGGGGTATATATATATATATATATATATATATATATACATACACACATTGCCAACTTATCAAGTATCTGTTAGTAAGTTATTCCTCTTTGATGAATTCTGATTTTATTTATTTATTTATATGTTTAGACAAAGGTATGTTTTATTTGAATAAAGCTAAGAAATTGCTTAATAATGTAAGTAGAGCTCCGTATTAATGTTTATCATGGTGCGTGCAGAGTCAAACAACATAGTTATGAGAAGTATTATTATATTTTATATTTTTTTGTGGCTCAAATATTTTTCACAATCATTTATTTATTCTGCAGATGCGAGCGATAGTCATGAGATGTAATGTATTTTTTTTTTTCAAATATTGTTCAAAAATATTTATTTATTCTGAACATTAATTTTGTGCTATTGTAAAGTGATTTGGCTAAGATTTATTTGATCTTACTGTATGCGAAATCCACAGTTTCACCCATGAATGGGATGCTGCGTTTGTAAGATTGTAAGTTTTAGCTAAATGCAGAAGAATTGGGTGCTACCTACGTAAATTTCCGTAATTTTAAATTATTTAATAATTTTCTAATATTCTCCGTAACCAACTCACCGCCGCACTGCCACGCACCACATTGAATTGGTAATACAGCTATTTTTAATTGAGTTTCTTTCTCATTAATATTTCCACTTTGATATTTCTTCATTCTTCGTGCCCCTAATTTGGCTGGCTTTCCTCTTTATCTCCCACCTTATGGATTGCCATGCACAAATTATTATCCCCATCATTTCTCCGTCAAAACCCAAACTTCAATCAAAAGACTAAACGCCAATAATGTAAGTCCCTGCTAACATTGTAACTCACGAAGACAATCCGTTGCTTTAAAATATGCATATAAAATGTTTTTTTTCTCCTTTTTAATTGGATATTTCTTGAGAAACATTCTTTGTAAAACTAAAAATCAAGAAAATGGACGTTCTTTGTGCAGTTCTCCTAGGGAAAAGGAGTTCTTCCCAATGAAGACCTCCAAATCGGCACAGGAACCACAACAATCTGGCGAGGCTGCGTCGTCTATGATTCCATCAACACAAGCAGAGCAAGGGGTACGTATGGCTCAACAAAATGAGGGCCCGTCGCATTTGATTTCATCTTCACAGGCAAGGCAACAGGAATTTGCACCACCATCGACATGGTTCCATGGTGTATTTCCTCTGCAAAATGGTCTTTGGGGTGCTCAAATCAATTTCATTCCGTTGTGAACGTTCAAGTCCGAAATAGCCACAGCACGAGCTTATGATAGTGCATGTCTCATGCTCTTCGACAATAATTTCTTTCGTAACTTGTTGTTGACGAATGTCACTATTCATGAGACACTTTTTCAGAGCACATACCCCAGTGAAGTCATCATTAATATGATTAGAGATGGTTCCTACGAACCCAATTATATCTATTTTCTTTGTCATAATTGCCCTAACTTCCACTATTGTGACTCTGTAGTAATGCCTACTACCTTGGACGTCAAAAAAGGGTTCATTTCTAAGGATATGCTTCGTAAAGAGTTGGTTTTGATTGACGTTCAGAATCAGAATTTATTTATTTTACCTCATGAAGCTATGTATTGCTTTAAGTCATTGAACTCCTACATAGGCGCACTATGGATAGAATTTAAAGACAAGACGAACCAGTCATGGACGTTTAAATTATATTTCGTGCATACTCCTCGGCTTTATATGTTCGGTGAGGGTTGGAACAAATTTTTTAATGAGATGGAGCTTTGTGTTAATGATATTGTCCTATTCTATCAATACAAGGACCAACAAAATTTTCCTCATAGATTTTTTAATATGATTGATGTCATCCGGGGTGTCAGAAGTCCCTGGAGGCAGCTGCGGCATTGAGCCTCATTCATGTGGAAGATTGAATGTTATCTAGCAGTGATTATTCCTCTTAAAAAATTTTGAAATTTTTCTAAAATCTTGATTAGTACCCAGCAGTAAAAATTTTTATGATGCGTGCAAAGTTCGGACACAATAGTTATAGGCTGCTTCTTTTCTTCAAACGTTGATTATTCATAAACATTTTGGGGCTGCAAATTATTTGTTTTTATTGTTAAGTGATTTGGTTAAGATTTCTTTCTCCTATATTTTGACTCATGTTGCCATGTTTATAAGAGAATGCATAAAATCATTATTACTTTGGCCCTCCATCCATCATGATTATTGTAATGTTACTTGATAATTTTATTTTCCTTCAAATCAAACACAATAGTAAGAACTTTTTCATTATTTTATATCAAACCAAACACTCCCAAATATTCCAAATACATTGCATTTCTTTAATGATATATTTCTTTTTTAACAAGCCAAACGGGGCTAAGTTTTTAATTCGATAATCTTTCTATCGCATATTTATAGTCTACTTCCATGTTAATAATTTCGGGTAAACAGTACTAAGAAAATCGGCATCACTAGTTTGCCTCGGACACTTGGACAATAAATCAAACGTTAAATCCTATTATTCTTTTGTTCTTTTTGTTTGGCAAATGTTTTCATTTCACTCCAAGCTCCATCTGAGGATATTTCTATGAATACACAATGTAGTCTGTCTTGTCTTTTTTGCGAGTGGACAAAGCCTTTGGCTTACAACTTTTAAACCTCAACGGAGAACAACAATTTTGAATGAATTATTTGTTGTTAATGAGTTTTGAATGTTAGAAAAATAAATATAAAATTTTAGATGTTGGATATGTGAATTGATATGTTTCCAGTGGTTTGTATGTCAATGTCCTTTGATTTTTAATATTAAGGGGGAAAAAAATTATATGAATACAATTTTAACATATATAAATTTACAAACATATATTTTATATACATCTAAGAAGGTGATTAATTCAAATAACATATTTAACATTTATTTGCAAATAACTAAAATTATAAAATATAACTATTAATATAAGAGAAAAGTAAGCACCAAATAAACTAGATTATGTTAAAATTAAAGTAGATATATAATATACATAAATCCAATATAAATCTTGAGAAAACCAATAGAGCAATGAAATAAAGGAGTGGTGTGGGACTTCAGCTCTTTCTCAACGCTTCAAGTTAATTTTCAAGCCTCAAGTTCTCCCCCCCATGAGAGGGGTGGGGCGTTATTTATAATGTTTTGGGAGCAATTAATGTTGAAATATGAACTAGTTTATTGCGATCGTCTAAAGAGATTTTTTCGATCAGACAAAGTTTGATGAACATTTGAGTGTCTCAATGATATCAGAATTGAGTGACATTGAGCTGGTTGGATTCTTCTTCCTAAGACACTCTATTCAATTATGAACTTGTCAGATTTGACATCTGTTTGACTTTCCAAATGCATTCAAAAGACTTCCAAACATGGTTTGATGGTTTTATCAAAGCTTGATTTGGTTCAGATTAAAACAGTGTTGGTACAATTTGGTTCGTCTTTTCAAATCGATCGGTTTGACAATAAATTTGTTGAAATCAAACTTTTGGATGATTCTTTATCAGAGTTTGAATATTTCTTACTCAAAAGAATACCTCGAGCTAAGTGTCATGCTTTGATATTCATGTCGGACGATGGGAATATATTGATGGTGTATCAATTGCTTCTCCATTTTTGGGTGATTTCCTTTTCGACATCCGAAAATATCAAAATTGAAATTACTTTATATTTTATTATCACATTGTGTGTGTTTGTGTGTGTGTCTCTCTCTCTCTCTCTCTCTCTCTCTATATATATATATAGTCATTTAATGTATTATATATAGATATTTTTAACGCCAGCCTCTGTTGTCTGAGATATGCTTAGCTCGGTGGAACTGGTTCTTTTGTTTGTGTATGCATGAGGTTTGAAACCCCTTACAAGCAAGCCAAAAAAAAATTATTTGGTAGGCTGGCTCGACCCACGTTGTGGGAATGACAAGATTTGGGAATGCCAACGATATAATCTTACCAGCCTCCGATAGTGCTCCATGTGGGAGATCGAACCTCCAATATGGAGTGCAGCCCTTCTATCTCCTTTCTTTGTCTGGTTTTGCTGATTTGTGTGTCTTCCTCTGGTACTCAAGGCCCATGCTCAGGTTTCTCAGCCCAGACTTCCTCAACCCACAAGAGCTTATGCCCCTTCTTATGCTCTATCGTGAACATATCACCGATTTTATGCTTGGCAAAAACCTCAAAAATCAGTTGGATTTGCTGGGGAGCTTACGTGTCAAACACATACCACTTAATTGGTCGCACAGACAATCGCTTGCCCTATGCTCGAAGTTTCTGCGAATGTGTGCATCCTCAGCAGAGGTTTGGGACAATTATTTCTGTAAATTAAATTAGAAATTGTTAGATTAATATAAATACACAATTATAATTGTTGTGGTTGTGGTTTACCTTAAACTCCCAAAAACACATATCCCCAACTGCCTTTGTGATCTCCCTCCAGAATAAGTATGGGTGTTCGTACTTGCCGTGAATTATATCTCTGATGGAATGAATCGCCTGTGTGGAGAGACTAAATTTGAAAATAACATATGATTAATTTTTCTATTAAACTAAGAAAAAATTAAGCTGTAATATCAATATTAGATTAAAACTTATGTGTTACTCATTGCCCGAAGTTGTTGATGGATGCACATGCTGCTTGAACTAGACAATGAATCAATAACAATTTATGCCGACAATGTTGGCGGTGTCGTAGTCATGGCTGGTAGCTGTGGTGGTGTCATTACCATGACTAGCGGTGGCGGTGGTGCCATGGTCGTGATTGGTAGCGGTGGTGACGTCGTGGCTAATGGCGGTAGTAGTGTGGTGGTTGTGACTGGTAGAGGTGATGGTGTTGTAGCTGGGATGAGTGGTGGTGTCAATGTTTCGGGACGATTACATACAGGGCACCCAAAACATTGCTATTTACAAATCAAACACCCTCTTTCATCCCTTTTTCATATTCTCACTCAAATATCAATGGTCATGATAAAACCTCAGCCCATAGTTTCTATTTTCATTCCTAACTCTTTCCCGAGGCTTATTCATAAGGATTTCAAAGGTGAAAATCATACACCGATTTAATTCCTTCCGTAAATGTCTAGTAAGAGCATCCATAACTAAAGCAAAAATATATGGGCTTAATTCCAATCCCTAATGTAATCCAACAATAAAAGAAAATTCCTAATCAATTTTTTGAAAATATTTGAAAATAAAAATAAAGTAAATGAAGGAGAGTTACCTTCCATAATAGTTCCAGATATGAGAGTTGTGGGAGGGGAAAAAATATGATTTTCTAGTTATTGTAAGGCATGATCCCATCGTTTTGTTCCGAGCTAGCTTCTATGAACTATATCGCCAGGATTCGACAATGAAGGCGATGGTTTTGGATAAATTAGAGAGGGGGTCGAGGAACATGTGAGGTTTTCAGTGAGAGAAGAGAGGTTTGAGGGGAGGAGAGGGCTTCGGCTAGAGAGCAGCGGGGGGAGAAGGGATTAGGGCAGAAGGGGGAGGGCCGTGATTTTGGCGGTATAATTGATTATTTCCGACGACTTATAATCCGTTGGTTATTAATACTTTCATCGACGACAATTTTTGTCGCTTATTATAAAAGCGCGTCAGTTAATACCCCCGCCAGATGGCAGTTCAAAGATAACCTGCAACATATGATTTTCAGTTAATATACATTCATAACCGACGAGTTACGGCGTCAGTAATTAAAAAAAAAACATCAAAAAAAATAATGTTGTTAATAAGCGACAAAAAATTTATAGTTATGCCGTTGGAAATTATCAAAACATAAATTGTCGCTCGATAGTTGGTAATTTACATTATTATTGAAGGATAACACTGCCGCTTATTAAAACAATCCGTCGGCTAAAACTCTGCAAAATGACAGGTTCAAAGATAACTGACACAATGCGGTCATCGGTTAATACTTGCTTTAACCAACAGACTAAGGTGTCAATAATAATTAAATATGTCCAAAAGAACTTTACTGTTAATAAGCGACAACATTTTTTGTTGCATGTTAAGTCGTTGCAAATAACCCAGATTATAAACCATAGCTACACTGTCAGAAAATGAAATATGTTGGTGGTGTTATTGACGGGTTTACTTTTCGGTCTCTCTGTATACTACCCGATTGTGTTATTTCCGTGTTTTCGTGGTGTTATACATGTTGTTCCTGCATTTTTGGTTGTGGTTTCACGGTTGTTTCTTCTATTTTGGTGGTGTTTTTAAACGTTTTACTTACATATTGTCTGGAGTTGTTCTCCAAGTGGTGATGCTATTCTTTGTTGAGACTGAAACTCTATACGTTGGACAAAAGACTATTGGGTCTACTTTCTCCTTGTTTTTTGCATTTTCTTCTTCATAGGATTTATGACTTTATTTTTGTTTTTTGTTTTTTTTTTTGTTATACATGTATCTTTTTTTGGAGACTTTTGTATGATCCTCAAATTCTTTTCTTTTGTACAGCTCTTTTTGACATTATAAAATATTTCCTATGGGCTTCTTTTAAAACATATATATCTATGCATACATGCATACATACATATAACATATATATACATACATATAATATATATATACATACATATAATATATATATATACATACATATACATACATACATATACATACATACATA